CAGAACATCATAGGATTCTTTGAAAAACACATTTAAATGTGTTTTATGTACTTATTTAAAACAAGCACTTTCCAGAGAATTGTTTATCCCGTAGGTTATTATAAGTATGATTTATGTACAGATTCTCTATCATTATTATTTAAAAATTATTTAGCCCATTTATGCTGAATTTTTGCATGTTCTTAAAACTTAAGACAACTTTCTAGTGCTACCTTATCTTTGAGAATGGAAAGCTATTACAGTAGAATTGTATATATTTATAACATTTCTGTATATTATTTACAGGAAGACCATGTACTCAGCTGCAGCTTCTAAATCCGGAACGATTTGCACGTCTTATCAAAGAAGTAGTGAACACATTCTGGCCTGGCAGAGAGTTGATCGTTCAGTGGTATCCATTTGATGAAGACAGAAATCACCCATCTGTTTCATGGCTTAAGATGGTTTGGAAGAATCTCTATATACATTTTTCAGAGGATTTGACTTTATTTGATGAGATGCCACTTATCCCCAGAACTACATTAGAGGAAGGTCAGACATGTGTGGAACTCATTAGACTCAGGATTCCATCATTAGTCATTTTAGATGATGAATCTGAAGTACAGCTTCCAGAATTTTTAGGAGACATTGTACAAAAACTTGGTGGGATTGTCCTTAAAAAATTGGATGCCTCTATACAACATCCCGTTATTAAAAAATACATTCATTCGCCATTACCAAGTGCTGTTTTGCAGATAATGGAGAAGATGCCATTGCAAAAATTGTGTAATCAAATAGCTTCGCTACTTCCAACACACAGAGATGCTTTGAGGAAGTTCTTGGCTAGTTTAACTGATACTAGTGAAAGAGAGAAAAGAATAATTCAAGAACTGATGATATTCAAACGAATTAATCATTCATCTGGCCAGGGAATTTCCTCTTATACAAAACTGAAAGGTTGTAAAGTCTTGCACCATACCGCCAAACTTCCACCAGATCTGCGACTTTCTATTTCAATAATAGACAGTAGTGATGAAGCTACTATTCGCTTGGCAAATATGTTGAAAATAGAGACGTTAAAGACTACTAGCTGCTTAAAGCTTGTTTTAAAAGATATTGAAAATGCCTTTTATTCACCTGAAGAGGTAACACACCTTATGTTATGGATTCTTCAGAATCTTTCCTCTCTTAAAAATGAGAATCCGAATATGCTTGATTGGTTAATGCCATTAAAATTTATTCAGATTTCACAGGAACAGATGGTATCAGCTAGCGAACTCTTTGATCCTGATATAGAAGTACTAAAGGATCTCTTTTATAATGAAGAAGAAACCTGTTTTCCACCCCCAGTTTTTACCTCACCAGATATTCTTCACTCTTTAAGACAGATTGGTTTAAAAAACGAAGCCAGTCTCAAAGAGAAAGATGTTGTGCAAGTGACAAAAAAAATTGAAGCCTTACAGGTCAGTTCTTGTCCGAATCGGGATGTTCTGAAGAAAGCAAAAACACTCTTACTGGTTTTAAATAAGAATCACACGCTGTTGCAGTCATCTGAAGGAAAGATGACGTTGAAGAAAATAAAATGGGTTCCAGCTTGCAAGGAGAGGCCTCCAAATTATCCAGGGTCTTTAGTCTGGAAAGGAGATCTCTGTGATCTTTGTGCACCACCAGACATGTGTGATGTAGCCCATGCAATTCTAGTTGGCTCTGCACTTCCTCTTGTTGAAAGTATCCACGTAAACTTGGAAAAAGCATTAGGTATCTTTACAAAACCTAGCATCAGTGCAGTCTTAAAACACTTTAAAATTGTTGTTGATTGGTATACTTCAAAAACCTTTAGTGATGAAGACTACTATCAGTTCCAACATATTTTGCTTGAAATTTATGGATTCATGCATGATCATTTAAATGAAGGGAAGGATTCCTTTAGAAGCTTAAAATTTCCATGGGTGTGGACTGGCAAAAAATTTTGTTCCCTTGCCCAAGCTGTGATTAAACCAATCCATGATCTTGACCTTCAGCCTTATTTGCATAATGTGCCTAAAACCATGGCAAAATTCCACCAACTGTTTAAAGTCTGTGGTTCAATTGAGGAGCTGACATCAGATCATATTTCCATGGTCATTCAGAAGATATATCTCAAAAGTGACCAAGATCTCAGTGAACAAGACAGCAAACAAAATCTTCATCTTATGTTGAATATTATCAGATGGCTGTATAGCAATCAGATTCCAGCAAGTCCTAATACACCAGTTCCTATACATCATAGCAAATATCCTTCTAAACTTATCATGAAGCCAATTCATGAATGCTGTTATTGTGACATCAAAGTTGATATATAGCAATCAGATTCCAGCAAGTCCTAATACACCAGTTCCTATACATCATAGCAAACATCCTTCTAAACTTATCATGAAGCCAATTCATGAATGCTGTTATTGTGACATCAAAGTTGATGACCTTAATGACTTACTTGAAGATTCAGTGGAACCAATCATTTTGGTGCATGAGGACATACCCATGAAAACTGCAGAATGGCTAAAAGTTCCATGTCTTAGTACAAGATTGATCAATCCTGAAAACATGGGATTTGAGCAGTCAGGACAAAGAGAACCACTTACTGTAAGAATTAAAAACATTCTGGAAGAATACCCTTCAGTGTCCGATATTTTTAAAGAACTACTTCAAAATGCTGATGATGCAAATGCAACAGAGTGCAGTTTCATGATTGATATGAGAAGAAACATGGACATAAGAGAGAATCTCCTAGACCCAGGGATGGCGGCTTGCCATGGACCTGCTTTGTGGTCATTCAACAATTCTGAATTCTCAGATTCCGATTTTGTGAACATAACTAGGTTAGGAGAGTCTTTAAAAAGGGGAGAAGTTGACAAAGTTGGAAAATTTGGTCTGGGATTTAATTCTGTGTACCATATCACTGACATTCCCATCATTATGAGTCGAGAATTCATGATAATGTTTGATCCAAACATAAACCATATCAGTAAACACATTAAAGACAAATCTAATCCTGGGATCAAAATTAATTGGAGTAAACAACAGAAAAGACTTAGGAAATTTCCTAATCAGTTCAAACCATTTATAGACATATTTGGCTGTCAGTTACCTTTGACTGTAGAAGCACCTTACAGCTACAATGGAACTCTATTCCGACTGTCCTTTAGAACTCAACAGGAAGCAAAAGTGAGTGAAGTCAGTAGTACCTGCTATAATACAGCAGATATTTACTCTCTTGTGGATGAATTTAGTCTCTGTGGGCACAGGCTAGTCATTTTCACCCAGAGTGTAAACTCAATGTATTTGAAGTACTTAAAAATTGAGGAGACCAATCCCAGCTTAGCACAAGATACAATAATAATTAAAAAAAAATCCTGCTCTTCCAAAGCATTGAATGCATCTCTCTTAAGTGTTTTAAAAGAAGCTGCTAAGCTTATGAAGACTTGCAGTGGCAGTAATAAAAAGCTTCCTAGTGATGCACCAAAGTCATCATGCATTCTTCAGATCACAGTTGAAGAATTTCACCATGTGTTCAGAAGGATTGCTGATTTACAGTCTCCACTTTTTAGAGGTCCAGATGATGACCCAGCTGCTCTCTTTGAAATGGCTAAGTCTGGCCAATCAAAAAAGCCATCAGATGAATTGTCACAAAAAACAGTAGAGTGTACCACGTGGCTTATATGTACGTGCATGGATACAGGAGAGGCTCTAAAGTTTTCCCTGAGTGAAAGTGGAAGAAGACTAGGACTGGTTCCTTGTGGGGCAGTAGGAGTTCTACTCTCTGAAACCCAGGACCAGAAGTGGACTGTGAAACCACACATGGGAGAGGTGTTTTGCTATTTACCTTTACGAATAAAAACAGGCTTGCCCGTTCACATCAATGGGTGCTTTGCTGTTACCTCAAATAGAAAAGAAGTCTGGAAGACAGATACAAAAGGACGATGGAATACCATATTCATGAGACATGTTATTGTGAAAGCTTATTTACAGGCACTCAGTGTCTTACGGGACCTGGCCACTGGTGGGGAGCTAACTGATTATACTTACTATGCAGTGTGGCCTGATCCTGATTTAGTTCATGATGATTTTTCTGTAATTTGTCAAGGATTTTATGAAGATATAGCTCACGGAAAAGGGAAAGAATTTACCAGAGTCTTCTCTGATGGATCTACTTGGGTTTCCATGAAGAATGTGAGATTTCTAGATGACTCTATACTTAAAAGGAAAGATGTTGGTCCAGCAGCCTTCAAGATATTTTTGAAATACCTCAAGAAGACTGGGTCCAAAAACCTTTGTGCCGTTGAACTTCCTTCTTCAGTAAAATTAGGATTTGAAGAAGCTGGCTGCAAAGAGATACTGCTTGAAAATACATTTTCAGAGCATCAGTTTTTTTCGGAAGTGTTTTTTCCAAATATTCAAGAAATTGAAGCAGAACTTAGAGATCCTTTAATGAATTTTGTTCTAAATGAAAAAGTTGATGAGTTCTCAGGAATTCTTCGTGTTACTCCATGTATTCCTTGCTCTTTGGAGGGGCATCCTTTGGTTTTACCATCAAGATTAATCCACCCTGAAGGACGAGTGGCAAAGTTATTTGATACTAAAGATGGGCGATTCCCTTATGGTTCTGCTCAGGATTATCTCAATCCTATTATTTTGATTAAACTAGTTCAGTTAGGTATGGCAAAAGATGATATTTTATGGGATGACATGCTAGAACGTGCAGAGTCAGTAGCTGAAATTAATAAAAGTGACCATGTTGCTGCATGTCTAAGAAGTAGTATCCTATTAAGTCTTATTGATGAGAAACTGAAAATAAGAGATCCTAGAGCAAAGGATTTTGCTGCAAAATATCAAACAATCCCCTTCCTTCCATTTCTAACAAAACCAGCAGGTTTTTCTTTGGACTGGAAAGGTAACAGTTTTAAGCCTGAAACTATGTTTGCAGCAACTGACCTTTATACAGCTGAGCATCAAGATATAGTTTGTCTTTTGCAACCACTTCTAAATGAAAATTCCCATTCCTTTAGAGGCTGTGGTTCAGTGTCATTGGCTGTTAAAGAGTTTTTGGGATTACTTAAGAAGCCAACAGTGGATCTGGTTATAAACCAATTGAAAGAAGTTGCAAAATCAGTTGATGATGGAATTACATTGTACCAGGAGAATATCACCAATGCTTGCTACAAATACCTTCATGAAGCAATGATACAAAATGAAATTGTTAAGATATCAATTATTGAAAAGTTAAAACTTTTTAGCTTCATTCTGGTTGAGAATGCATATGTTGACTCAGAAAAAGTTGCTTTTCATTTGAATTTTGAAGCAGCACCATACCTTTATCAGTTGCCTAATAAATACAAAAATAATTTCCGTGAACTTTTTGAAAGCGTGGGTGTGAGACAGTCATTTACTGTTGAAGACTTCGCTCTTGTTTTGGAATCTGTTGATCAAGAAAGAGGAGCAAAACAAATAACAGAAGAGAAATTTCAGCTTTGCCGACGAATAATCAGTGAAGGAATATGGAGTCTCATTAGAGAAAAGAAACAAGAATTTTGTGAGAAAAATTATGGCAAAATATTATTGCCAGATACTAATCTTATGCTCCTCCCTGCTAAATCATTATGCTACAATGATTGTCCCTGGATAAAAGTAAAAGATACCACTGTAAAATATTGTCATGCTGATATACCCAGAGAAGTAGCTGTAAAACTAGGAGCAGTACCAAAGCGACACAAGGCCTTAGAAAGGTATGCATCCAACATCTGTTTTACAACACTTGGCACAGAATTTGGACAGAAAGAAAAATTGACGAGCAGAATTAAGAGCATCCTTAATGCCTATCCTTCAGAAAAGGAAATGCTGAAAGAGCTTCTTCAAAATGCTGATGATGCAAAGGCCACAGAAATCTGTTTTGTGTTTGACCCTAGACAGCATCCAGTTGATAGAATATTTGATGATAAGTGGGCCCCTTTGCAAGGGCCAGCACTCTGTGTGTACAACAACCAACCTTTTACAGAAGACGATGTTAGAGGAATTCAGAATCTTGGAAAAGGCACCAAAGAAGGAAATCCTTATAAAACTGGGCAGTATGGAATAGGATTCAATTCTGTGTATCATATTACAGACTGCCCTTCTTTTATTTCTGGCAATGACATCCTGTGCATTTTTGACCCTCATGCCAGATACGCACCAGGAGCCACATCCATTAGTCCTGGACGCATGTTTAGGGATTTGGATGCAGATTTTAGGACACAGTTTTCAGATGTTTTGGATCTTTATTTGGGAACACACTTTAAACTGGATAATTGTACAATGTTTAGATTTCCTCTTCGTAATGCAGAAATGGCAAAAGTTTCAGAAATTTCCTCAGTTCCATCATCAGACAGAATGGTGCAGAATCTTTTGGACAAGTTGCACTCAGATGGGGCAGAACTTCTAATGTTTCTTAACCACATGGAAAAAATTTCTATTTGTGAAATAGATAAAGCTACTGGAGCTCTAAATGTGCTGTATTCAGTAAAGGGCAAAATCACTGATGGAGACAGATTGAAAAGGAAACAGTTTCATGCATCTGTAATTGATAGTGTTACTAAAAAGAGGCAGCTCAAAGACATTCCAGTTCAGCAGATAACCTATACTGTGGATACAGAGGACTCCGAAGGAAATCTTACTACATGGCTAATTTGTAATAGATCGGGTTTTTCAAGTATGGACAAAGTATCTAAGAGTGTTATATCAGCTCACAAGAACCAGGATATTACACTTTTTCCACGTGGTGGTGTGGCCGCCTGCATTACTCACAACTATAAAAAACCCCATAGAGCCTTCTGTTTTTTGCCTCTTTCTTTGGAGACGGGGTTGCCATTTCATGTGAATGGCCACTTTGCACTGGATTCAGCCAGAAGAAACCTGTGGCGTGATGATAATGGAGTTGGTGTTCGAAGTGATTGGAATAACAGTTTAATGACAGCATTAATAGCTCCTGCATATGTCGAATTACTAATCCAATTAAAAAAACGATATTTCCCTGGTTCTGACCCAACATTATCAGTTTTACAGAACACGCCAATCCATGTTGTAAAGGATACTTTAAAGAAGTTTTTGTCCTTTTTCCCAGTTAACAGGCTTGATCTCGAATTACTAATCCAATTAAAAAAACGATATTTCCCTGGTTCTGACCCAACATTATCAGTTTTACAGAACACACCTATTCATGTTGTAAAGGATACTTTAAAGAAGTTTTTGTCCTTTTTCCCAGTTAACAGGCTTGATCTACAGCCAGATTTATATTGTCTAGTGAAAGCACTTTATAGTTGTATTCATGAAGACATGAAACGTCTTTTACCAGTTGTTCGGGCTCCAAATATTGATGGCTCTGATTTGCACTCTGCAGTGATAATTACTTGGATTAATATGTCTACTTCAAGTAAAACTAGACCATTTTTTGACAATTTACTACAGGATGAATTACAGCACCTTAAAAATACAGATTATAATATCACAACACGCAAAACAGTAGCAGAGAATGTCTACAGACTGAAACACCTACTTTTAGAAATTGGCTTCAACTTGGTTTATAACTGCGATGAAACTGCTAATCTTTACCACTGCCTTGTCGATGCAGATATTCCTGTTAGTTATGTGACTCCTGCTGATGTTAGATCTTTTTTGATGACATTTTCCTCTCCTGACACTAATTGCCATATTGGGAAGCTGCCTTGTCGTCTTCAGCAGACTAACCTAAAACTTTTTCATAGTTTAAAACTTTTAGTTGATTATTGTTTTAAGGATACAGAAGAAAATGAGATTGAAATTGAGGGTCTGCCCCTTCTCATTACACTGGACAGTGTTTTGCAAACTTTTGATGCAAAACGACCCAAGTTTTTAACAACATACCATGAATTGATTCCATCCCGCAAAGACTTGTTTATGAATACATTATATTTGAAGTACAGTAACATTTTATTGAACTGTAAAGTTGCAAAAGTGTTTGACATTTCCAGCTTTGCTGACTTGTTACCCTCTGTGTTGCCTCGTGAATATAAGACCAAAAATTGTACAAAATGGAAAGACAATTTTGCAAGTGAGTCTTGGCTTAAGAATACATGGCATTTTATCAGTGAATCTGTGAGTATGAAAGAAGATCAGGAAGAAATAAAACCAACATTTGATATTGTTGTTGATATCCTAAAAGACTGGGCATTGCTTCCAGGAATAAAGTTTACTGTTTCAGCCAATCAGCTTGTGGTTCCTGAAGGTGATGTTCTGCTTCCTCTAAGCCTTATGCACATTGCAGTTTTTCCAAATGCCCAGAGTGATAAAGCTTTTCATGCTCTGATGAAAGCTGGCTGTATTCAGCTTGCCTTGAACAAAATCTGCTCCAAAGACAGTACATTTGTTCCTTTGTTGTCACGTCACACAGCAAACATAGAAAGCCCTACAAGCATCTTAAAGGCTGTACATTATATGGTCCAAACTTCAACATTTAGAACCGAAAAATTAGTAGAAAATGACTTTGAAGCACTTTTGATGTATTTCAACTGCAATTTGAGTCACTTGATGTCCCAAGATGATGTAAAAATTTTAAAGTCACTTCCATGCTACAAATCCATCAGTGGCCGCTATATGAGCATTGCAAAATTTGGAACATGCTATGTACTTACAAAAAATATCCCTTCAGCTGAAGTGGAAAAATGGACACAGTCATCATCATCTGCATTTCTTGAAGAAAAAGTACACTTAAAGGATCTGTATGAAGTGCTTGGTTGTGTACCTGTAGATGATCTTGAGGTATATTTGAAACACCTCTTACCAAAAATTGAAAATCTCTCTTTTGATGCAAAATTAGAGCACTTGATTTATCTTAAGAATAGATTATCAAGTATTGAGGAATTGTCAGAGATTAAGGAACAACTTTTTGAAAAACTGGAAAGTTTGTTGATAATCCATGATGCTAACAGTCGACTAAAGCAAGCAAAACATTTTTATGATAGAACTGTGAGAGTTTTTGAAGTTATGCTTCCTGAAAAGTTGTTTATTCCTAAGGATTTTTTTAAAAAATTGGAACAACTTATAAAACCAAAAAATCACATTTATGATAGAACTGTGAGAGTTTTTGAAGTTATGCTTCCTGAAAAATTGTTTATTCCTAAGGATTTTTTTAAAAAATTGGAACAACTTATAAAACCAAAAAATCACATTGCATTTATGACATCCTGGGTGGAATTCTTAAGAAATATTGGACTAAAATACATACTTTCTCAGCAGCAGTTGTTACAATTTGCTAAGGAAATCAGTGTGAGAGCTAATACAGAAAACTGGTCTAAAGAAACATTGCAAAATACAGTTGATATCCTTCTTCATCATATATTCCAAGAACGAATGGATTTGTTATCTGGAAATTTTCTGAAAGAACTGTCTTTAGTACCATTCTTATGTCCTGAGCGAGCCCCTGCTGAATTCATTAGATTCCACCCTCAATATCAAGAAGTAAACGGAACACTTCCTCTTATAAAGTTCAATGGAGCACAGGTAAATCCGAAATTCAAGCAGTGTGATGTGCTCCAGCTATTATGGACATCCTGCCCTATTCTTCCAGAGAAAGCCACACCCTTGAGTATCAAAGAACAAGAAGGTAGTGACCTTGGTCCTCAGGAACAGCTTGAACAAGTTTTAAATATGCTTAATGTTAACCTGGATCCCCCTCTTGATAAGGTCATTAATAACTGCAGAAA